AAAACATTTAAAGAAGAACTGTTACCTATTCTACATAAATTATTTCAGAAGATCACATGAAGGTGTGTATACCTCATTTCATAGCTAATATATCTTAGCTGTTGGTGACCTCTGTCGGAGAAGCCTGTGGGCCTCAGCTCAGATTTCATCATTTATCTTGGGCTTCCTTCTACCACCCAAGCTTACTTTTGACCTTCACAAAATTGATTGATCCATTGCCATCAAGTTCAAACTGACTCATGGCTGACCCTCCAACAGGTTCTCAGAAACTGTAAATCACATACCAAGAGATTGCACCTGAACGCTGGTGACTTCAAACTGCCTGCCTGTGGGTTGGCAGCACAGCTCCTTACTCACTAGGCCACCAGTGGTCCCAGCTTTGCAAGAGAAAGCAACTACCTATGCTATGCTTCTTCCATCACACTGGGCTCCCAAGCGGGCAAGTACCTGCTCTTTTCATTTTTTATGTTACATCTAGCATGGTGCCTGGCTCCATAACCTGACTAAATTCTTCATGAATGAGTCTATGATGAGAAGGGAAACCAAACTAGATTTTTTTACAAGAAAAAAAACCAAAAGAACCCCCTGCCAAAACACTCAAAGAAATAAAGTAGGGCTGTTACTTTCACTACTATTTTTTTTAATTATTTTATATTGGTTTGCTTACAAATTTTGTATACATTGTGTTTCACACTATTCATTCACATTGTGTTTCATACAATCAATCCCATTCATTATGTTTTATAAAATTAATCACCATAGCTATTATGTTACTGTAATGGAAATGGAAGACAGATGCAGATTGGAAGGGAGAAGGGAAGTCCCAAAACTATTATTATTGAGTAGATTCCAGCTATATTCTATCTATAGGATAGAATAGAACTGTCCCAAAAGAGTTTTGAAGGACATAAATCTTTATAGGAGAAAACTATTCAGCTTTCTCCAGAGGGGTGACTGCTGAGTTCAAACTGCAGACCTTTCTAGCAGACAACTTGCAAGACACTACAGCACCAGAATTCCTTGTGTAGTGTTTACTCTGATTGATAGTGTTATGTATCATTCAGTTAGAACTGACTTATAGCTGACTTTTGGCATGTTGCAAGGACGGACCAGTCCTTGGAGAGGGATGTCATGCTTGGGAGGGTGGAGGGACAGTGCAAGAGAGGAAGACTATAGAGGAGATGGGTTGATTCAGTGACTGGGGTAATGAGGGTAGGTGTGTTGGAGACAGTAAGGTTGGGACAAGATAGAGCAGTTTTCAGGGTTATTGTACATACAGTCGCTATGAGTCACAAGCAATTCAATGGCATGTAACAACAACAACAACTAGTGAGTTTTCAGAGGCAGTAAATTCCATGGAAAGAGATTGCCACTCTTTCTCCTGCAGGACAGCGGGTGGATTTGAACTGTGTGCCTTTAGATTGGTGATGCAACTCCTTACCACTAAGCCACCAGGGCTTTGTTGTGATAGAGGCACAGAGCACCAATCACAAAGCCAGCAATTTGGTTTCCTCTCTACAAATAATCTTTCTAGGTGACCCAAAATGACTACCTGACTCAGATGGCTCAGGTGACTAGTTAGACCAGTGGCCTGAAGGTGACAACAAGAGACTTGTCATAGGTGAGAAATGAATACTGTTCTGCCTAATCTGTAACTTTTTTAAAATGTAATAGACATTATAGAAAACTTGACAATTATAAAGAAACATGAAGAAAATACAAGGGATCATTGTCTTGTTATTAACATTTTGAGTTTATCAGGAATCAAGTTGTGTCCCCACAAATGTGTTGTAAGTCCTGATCCCTCTCTGGTTATAATCCCGGATAGGAATGGGTTTTCCTCATGTTAAGAAGTCTTATCTGTGCAGGGCATGTGTGAAGGCACTCAGCTGTGTGATTGAAAAAGTGTAGATTAAGCAGACATGAGAGAAGATAGAAGCCACGGTCCATGAAGTTCACCAAAGAGCCAAGGAATGAATAGATGCTGCAAAGAGGCAACAACTTTCCCAATGAGCTATAACAGCGAGTGAGCCTCTCCCCAGAGAGAAGCCCTGAATGCAAATGTCAAGTTTCATAAATGGTGTTTTCAGGAGTCTATAAACTGTGCATGAGGAGATGTCCCATCTTTCTCCCATCAAGCTGTGGGTAGATTCAAGCCACCAGAGAGGAACTGCTGTTGGGACAGTAGAACAACTCTCCAGAGACTACAACACCAGGGCCTCCTCCTGAACAGCGAGAAAATAAATTTGGGGTTGTTTAAGTGCTTGAGATACTTCTGTTACAACAGTATTAGGTTACTAAGATATATGTGTTTCCTTTCTTAATGCTTAAAACTTAATAAACCCTTTTTTTACATAATTGAGACAAAATGTGTTATTTTCATGTCTTATTTTACCTACTAACTAAAAGCATTTTTTTTTTCAGAAACATCCAACCACCCCCAAAAACTTATAAGGTAGATATTTTTTTAATCCTCAGGAAATCAAGAGATGAATTTCATTGAGAAAGTCAGCTATTCAGGGACCTCTCCAGAATACTGACAAGCAATGATGTCAGGCTGGAAACTAAGCTGCGCCTGATACGAGCCATAGTCTTCGCAATTATGTGCTATGCATTGGATAGCTGCATAGTGACTAGAAATGACAGAGAGAGAGTTGATGCCTTTGAGCTCTGGTGCTGGAAAAGACTGTTAGGAGAACAAACAGGTTTGTCCTGGAGAGGGTGAAATGAGGCTGCTCCTTGAAGGCTGCTCCTTGAAGGCAAGGATTCTGAAGCTTCATCTGATATATTTTGGGCATGTTTCAAGGAGGGACCAGTCCTTGGAGAGGGACATGTTTGGGAGGGTGGAGGGACAGCACAAGAGAGGAGGACCCTTGATGAGATGGATCAATTCAGTGATTAGGGTAATGGGAGTAGGTGTGTCAGAGACAGTGAGGTTGGAACAGGATAGAGCAACCCTGGTATGACCATAATCACTTCACTGTCTTCCCAGGAAGTGAGAACAGATACAATGAACAATTCCAAAAATCCCAGTCAACTTGGAGCTTGGAGGACTACTCCTGCTCTGGCATT